CGACCAAATTAGTACAAAGGCAGAAATATGTTACAATTAATTTGCGTAACCTAGAGCTAATGGCTAGCACTAGGTTCCCTCAAAAGGCGTCTTGTAAAGTTGTGCAACAATGAACATCCTTTTGGTCCAAAACAAAGTTTGTTAAAACTATAACACCTCTGTCACTGGAAATACTTTGATATCGGTCCATTTCACGACTAAAAGCAGATATGTTTTAACGCTAGTTATATTTCCAGTATGTGCCATGTAGTCTGAGCTTTAAGATTAAAGTGCCCTATCATATTAGTATGATCATTTGCTGTCAATATTTGTTGTTCGACCTGTAGTTGCGTTCCTATACAAAAACTTTCTCATCGATGCATATACGAACCTACCTTTGCACCAGAGGTCGATGAACTAAACTTCAGCGTATCTTGAAAAATCAGTGGCACATATTGCATTTTTCGTGTTAAGCTTTTTAAGCCCTTTGATCTCTCGACAAAGTTGACTTTTCCTCTCTTAATGAGCGTCACTTCTGGACGATCACTTTCGCACTCCATCTTTCGAAACCTTAACTAGGCACTAGGCACGCGATAATTCCATTTCGTAAACAAAAAACCCACAAATTCCTATGGATCGATCGGCCACAGCCGACGGGGAATTTTAGAGAAAAGAATTCTACAACTCAACAAACACTGTCGACGCATTCTGCGAGGATTTAGAAAGAGATCTCGGAATAAGCGTCGCGTCCTTTATTGGCCTCCGATCGGATGGTTGCGTGACATCACATCGGCTGACTTTGGGACCACGATCACTCCACCTGTACCTTCACTTCCGGTTTACTAATCAATTCAGACAAAACATGAAGTGAACGCTTCGAATAAAATTACGTTTCACTTGCCTGTGATAGTGAATTGGAGGATTCGTACACGTCTGATGGTAATTTCTCGCTGAGAAGAGAAAAAGCGGAAGAAAGGAACTTCAAAGAGGCAGATTGGCAACAACACGGAAAAAAAACGATGAGTCACTCGTAATCTGGAAGTAATCATGTACGCTCTGAAGCGTGCATAGAATCGAAAATGGTAAACGGAAAATTCTTTGCTCTTTATCTATGTTTAAATAGCCTGAAATACATAGTTTACTACTAACTTTGCGTATAAAAATCTGACTGTTTCGCAGACAAAATGAGCGCTTAACATAATTAACAAGAGACCTTCCTTGCTTTAACGACGCGCTTTGCTTTGGACCGAGAGTCAACAACCAGTGAAGGAAGAAACTTAAACAAACTCATCGAGATCACACCTTTTGACTCTTCCTCGGTAGTCTACTTCGGGAATATCGCCATTTACCTCATCTGCAAATCTGAAAGATTAAAGATTCTGCTCAGTATGAAAAGAAACCGCCATGTGATAAATTGCCCTCAAGAACTTACGTTTCGAACTCATTGAAACTCATCGAACTCGCAGAGTCGTTTGTTTCAGCTTCGACGTTGGAAGCAGTATCCATAGAGCCGCAGCTATTCGGAATGGGTTTTGTTAAAACTTCTTTACCTGAAAATCAAGCAGTAAAGGTTAACCTTCTCAACATTAAAATTGTCAAATTGAAGCCCGGGAATTTCACTCTTAACTGTCACATGCAGGTAACGCAAGTTTAGACTTACTTTTAGTTTTGGCTCTTTTTGTTCGCGTTTTAAGAATGGGATTTGGCTTTTTGTCATGAAAAAGTTTCACATGTAATAAAGAAAGCTTCATCGTGCCAACTACTCGTACTCAAATGATATAGCGGAACAATTCCTTCTCCCAAGCACGCACTTGATAAATAATTGACCAACGTGGATGTTATCACGCCAGTACAAGCGTTTCGTGATTTCAGCTTTTCCACGAAAAAGCGGAAGTCTAAATACACATGACGTATTTCCTGACAACGAGGCGTTACTGCACAATCAAGATATTGACCCCTTCAACAGAAACATTAGTCAACAAGGTTCAGATAAGTTTCTAAAGAAATGCAAATTATCTGCTTTCTAAATTACCCGTAATGTTTCTTCACACAACTTTGATGTTAACGTTTGTTTTGACTTTATCTTCGCCTTAAGCTTATAAAGTACTCAAATTTTTGATAAGAAATTGGTAAATGATCTCCGATAATATAAAGCTCGACAAAATCTATTTATTTGGAAAGACTTTTAGAGAAGGTTTACAACACAGCAGTCGTATGTTACGAGTAGACTGCGAATGACAATTCTGTTGTTACAAAAATGATTCATGTTGGCGGCTTCCTGATGTCAGGCAATCGGTAGCTTCTTAAACAAAATCTACATCATCGTAGGGATATTTCGAATACAAATAACTCAAAAGTATATAAAAAAGGCGACAATGACTCAAATCGGGAGGTTTTAAAACGCGAATGAGTCATTAATGGATTCTCTCCGCTTCATAACTAAAACTCATTTTGTAAACAATAAAATACAACGACGTACCGTGGCGATCCTAATCACTCTTTGTACATCGACCGAACAAGTTCAGAGGATAATTACTTATCCAAAAAAATAATCACGAGCGATCACAATCCAATATGGGCGACGATGAAGGAAAAAGTTACTTCATTTCGGATGCGGGCTTTTCCCTGATTGGACAATTTTGACAAAGTAGCTCATGAATACTGCCGCGCGAAAAAGGCAGGTGGAACGATACAAATTGACAAGGTAAACACAAGACTTTCCGCGTTCTATTTATAGCCACTGTTGGGTGTTTTATAGATTTAGATCGAGGTCGTGTCAGCTAAGCATGTTTTGGATCGCAAATCTTTGATGTGAGAATCCTAAAAAGGAAATTGTCTTGACCCTGTAACTCCCAAGACAAAATTTATCTTTACGAAACCATTACAATATCAAGCAGACAAGCGATGAGATTAAAAAAATATATAAATAAGAAAATAATAAACTGATCAAATGCCAAATTCTTTACACAAACATCATAACAAATGTATGGCAGACAGTAAGGAAAATCACTAATGAGATCTTGAGAGTGAAAGGGTTAATTACAACAATTTTACTCATAAAAGTCTGTGTTCATCCAAATTGACACTTGCAGTTGACAACTGATGGATAAAAAGCTTTTTATCTTAGAATTAGACAGTTACTTGGCTCATGGTTGATATGCTTTCAAGATTAGGAGTACCTTGAAGCCAATGGACAGGGATCACTAATACTTTATAACTGTATAAAATCGCTACACTAGTAAAAAGTTCTAAAAATATTTTTAAAAATATACTTTAAAATCTTAAGCTGATGAAGGCTAGAGTTCTTAGCCAAAACATTGAGATTTTAAGATATTTTTTTTCTATATTAAGGACTTTCTACCAGTGTAACTATTTCATATAGTTAGGAACCCATCTGGTTATAACACCTTATTTAGAAGAATATTTCAATCATAAAGGACTCCACTTCTTTATTTAGAAGCCTTGATGGGTTGTAATTGTCATTGCCTGTGGTGTGCTATCTGAATTGTCAGCCAACATACTGCTTCACCACCCCTCCTCTAACCCAGAAAATGCAGTAAAGATGAGGATTGTGACTATTGTTGGTTCACTGTGCCATGGATACTGGTAACTTCGTTGACGACCCAATTTACCAACACCATTGAATGAATAAATTTATAATTGTAATAAATATTTGTATTAAGCCCATTATCTGTGATGTTAATTATGCACTCTACCCTAAATTATCCTGGGTATAAATGCTACCAGTTAATCATCCTTGTGACACTGCAAGATTATCATTCTGGATTTGGGTTGAATTGTTTCACTTTCACATTAAATCTTGTGCAAACTTAATTTTATTTTTGCAATGATTTCCATTCTTGCCTTTGCCTTTTCCCTTATTTGTTCAAAAATGGCAGATGGCTCAGGACCTCAGTCAAGCCACTGTGGCAATCATCTCTAATTGTGCCACCAAAACCCTTAGTTTACTTGGCTCAGCTCAACTACATCCTTAGTGAAAGCAAATTTTTATACCATTAACATACATGAAAAAATAAAGGGCTTCTTATTGGCCAAAAACAAGTGCATTTTTCATGTAACACAAGTGCAAAGTTGTAACACGAGTGCAAATAATAGATAGCACATATGGGCTGTAAAAATTTTGTCTTTCTTGACTTTCTGTGATGCATTTTTCATGTTAATTAATTACCAGTTAATTAATGTTAACTAATTATCAGTTGAAATATTTATTGTTGCTTATTTTTACCAAATTGCACTCAAAATCGTGTAGTTACCTAAAAATTGAAAAGGTCACAACTCCGCTATCTGCGTGTTACTAAAAAGATTTTTTAAATAACTGATACTATAAAGGGTCTGATTGGTCAAAAAGCCTATTTACATTACACAGGTAAACCCATGGTTATTTTATAAAAGCGGTAGACCACAGTTTCTATAAATTTACCGATGCAATGACTAAACCCACTCGAAAAGTTTGTATTAACGAGAATCGGACTCGTTTTTTACAAACTTTTCTCGTGTTCTTCCAACTTTCCAGGTAGGTTATTACTCTACACCGACAAACCGACACAAAGAGCGGTCTGTTGCTTCATTATACCAAATGACCGATGGAAAATTAATTGGACGGAGAAGCGATTGGGCACAGTGCACATGAGATGAAAGCAGTTTGGTTTCTCTTCCGCCCTAGAAGGTAGGGAAATGTTTTCTTTTTCTAGTGGTGTTTACCTGTTATTTGTCAAATTTGATTCCATCAGACCATCTTGATCATGTTGTTCTCCCAATAAGAGCTAGATTTGTGCCAAAGAGTTTCTATCCCCGTGGAATACCTATAAAGGTGTGACAAAAGGTGAAATTGAAAAGGAACCCTCGTTCATTACCCTCGTTTACTTTCGATCTATCACCGCTGACACCAAAATTCGTATGCGCACTATCTTAGATCTCGTTCCCAGAGTCTCTGTTGATCATGGGAGTGGGGAATCTGGAAATGAGATCCCATCAGTCTATTATTCGAATTATTCGTTTACATAGGGGGAAATATTGCGGAATTTTCTTACGCATTTTGTAGCAGTTAGATGTACCACGCAGCTCAAAAGGAGGTGGATAAAATACTATTGACTGCTATAAGTTCTGAGTGCACGGTTTTAAATCTCAGTCATCGAGATCTGACCGTACTTCCCGATTCTTTAAAGGAACTTGTCAAAGTGAAAACGTTATTGTTGAATAACAACAAGATTATTATGCCTCCGATGGAACTTGTCTCACTAAAAAATCTTCAAGTCTTAGCACTTGATCATAATCAGTTAACACTAATACCTACGGGATTTCGGCAGCTATCGAACTTGCGAGTTTTGTGTTTGAGTCACAACAATCTAGGATTCTTACCTTCAGAAATAGGGGAGTTAACCTTTCTCCAAGAACTTTGGATTGTCAACATCCAGCTGATGGCATTACCACCTGAGATTTGCAAACTTGTGAACTTGGAGAAACTTGGTGCAGGATGTAACAATATCAAGGCTTTGCCCAATGGATTTTCAGCTTTAAAATCTCTGAAGTGGCTAAGTTTAGCAAAAAATCAACTTTCGTCTCTGCCTAGTGACTTTCATTGCCTCTTAAACTTGATCCAGCTCGATCTTGCTGAAAATCAATTTAGCAAATTTCCTGAAGGTCTGAGTGGACTTCATAAATTAGAGAATCTGATTCTGCGCTCAAACATGATTCAGTCTTTGCACAATAACACAGTAAAAAAATTGCCAAATTTGAGTCATGTGGACCTCAGGGACAACAAATTAACTTTACTTCCAAGAAATCTAGAACGTCTACATATATTCTGCATTGGAGAGAGACAGATTTGCAGAGACATTGATGAGAAGAGCTTACAAAAAGTAGACAAAATGCGGAAGAAGCAGAAATGCAACTAAAAGGAGTTGATAGCTTAAGGCAGGGTAATGAAAGATAAATAGGCCTTCTTTGATAGGGATGTTCATTAAAAAGTGGAAATTGGAATGCTTTTCTATTCAGGGTTGATGTACACTGGGACTGAACTGATTTTGCTTTTTTATGCTCTGTGATTGGTCCAGCAAGCTCTTGCCATTTTTCTCATCAATTTTAACCCCTTAGAGTGACTAACATCTTATTTTTCCTTACATCATCACCCCTGAATCACATTTTAAGGTCATAAGAATAAAGAAATGATTACCAACTAGAGACATTCTTGATTGGTTGAAAAATTCTTCCAATCAGCATCTTAGGAAATGTCTAAGGGACAGTTTGGAGAATATGTATACTGATGTTTAAGTGTAGAGGATTAATCAAGATTTTATCTTTTTACATTGGTTAGTACACTTCACATTCAGAAATGTATTGTGCTTTCTTTCATATTCTAGACAAACCTTCGGAGGTGTTGTAGACTGTGATCAGTCCATCCATTTTTCTTCTGGAATCATTGAGCTGGCTCAACTAAAACTCACACCATTATTTTGGATTATGAGGCAAACAGACCACTTTTGGACCCTACAGTTGATGCTCCTAATTGACTAGATGTTGATCAGGGTGGATAAACTGCTATAGTGAATTATTGAAAAGCTCACATAATGTTTTACTGTGATAGCCTTATGTTAGAGCTAATCATGGCAGCAGTTTACCCACCCTGAGGTGAATAACTATTTTTTCCGGCATGTTAAAAGCTGTATATAGCTCTACCTTTAGAACCTGTCAATAAAGCTCAGTCTGCAACAAAAAATTTGTGGGAATTTTAATTTTCACCTGCAGGTTGACATAGGTTGTGGCTACCCAACTGATTTAAAAAAAATTGCTGAAGTTTTAAAACCCACACTCTTGCCAAAGAAGTGTTGAATAGTTATTTTTTCGTAACCAGAGAATTTTGGGACAAAAAAGTCTCGCATCTACACCTTCCCGCCTTTTTCTGTTTCTCAATTACATCTTAGGATCAGAGATTAATGATATTTTGACCACATTTTACCCCTAGCCCCTCCCCCATCGTGCCCAGAATAGTCCAGAACAAAGGTTTGCCATATTTGGCACGTTATTAGTACGCAGCCGCGTAACAACTGTCAGTGAATCAAAACGTCCTACTGAAAAATTCTAACTGTGTAGTCCTCAACCAAGCGAATGGCTTATTGTGTTATGGATGATTGATTGCGTGTCTTTTTCCTCGATGGCATGTTAAATTTCTTCTTAGCCTCACTGGTTCGTGAAATGCCTCCAGTGTGCCGAGATTTGACGTGCTCTGAGCAGATCCATTGACATGGAGAAAGTTCAAGTTGAAGTCAAGATTGAACTCGGACACAAAGCTTCTTGTAAGAAAAACCCTAGTCCTGACGGATTTACACACGACTGGCAAGTTTTTGTGCGAGGACCAGGGAGGGATGACATTTCCCATTTCGTAGAGAAGGTTGTGTTTCACTTGCACGAAAGTTTTCCCAAGCCGAAGCGAGGTAGGCCAGGGTAATTCCTGCTCAACTCTAGCTTACAAACTCCATTACTCATGCTCTTGTGAAGCTCTATTGTGTTAAAAGCTTAGGTACTGTCTTTGTTTCCTATATTATTTTCTTAGCGCTAGTGACATGAATGGCTAATTTTGATATAACATATGATATTAAGGTTTAATTCAAGGCATTACCTGGTGTGATTTGCTGCTGATTTGCTGCAAATGGCCACGGCTTAAATCTGCGTAAATGGCATGAAGAAGCTCGAAAAATTGCAACTGTTATTGTCGACAAGATGCTTGTAAATTAGATTTGGTTGTCTTTTTATTTACAAAAGCCAACCTCTTGAAAAGTGGGATGTTGTGTAGCATTTCGATATAAACACTACCTAATCAAAATCAGCGGATATATCCAAGCGTAAAGTTCAAGCTACTTATCTCGTCTGGTTAATGTTGTTTTTCAACGTTGCGCCATTACCAGGTTTAAAGCTTTAGAATCGCCAACCATTACACTGTTCTTGAGGAGATGTTTAAATGGGAAGCTCAGTCTTCCTGTTCAATACAGGAATTGGACACTTTTCCTTGAAATATTTGAATCCAAATAAATCAATAAACGCGAGAAAATTTTGCATGATTAAGAAAATTTTGCGTAGAGGTAACAGGGTCATCAACCCACAAGATGTGTCGGTTGAATTAATTTTCTTGTGATTGATGAAAACGAGAACTAGATTTTAGTGGTATCGTAACGAATGCACTGCAGTTGTTTGTGCTATTGAATTAACGCTTATACTAACTTGATTTCAAGGATAAGGTTACATGTATTGGCCCCTTTGAAAATAACTGATTCGGTTTATTTGCTTTCATTGTTGGTCTTGTGTAAATATTGCTATCCACAGTTCGTCTGGAACGTTTAACATTCGATTGGCTTCTGTTTTTCTGTTTTTACTGTGTTCAGGAAGCTAAGTAGGACAGATTCGGGTCATTTAAACCTCCCAGCATCTCGCGTCTTTGATTTTAACAGCTGCAACGGAAGAAAGATAAATGTCTCTCTGTTCAACTTTTAGAAAGACTGTTTTCTTTAGAGAAACTCGTCTTCGAGGAAAAATAATTTGCTGACCATGATAATAACATATCTTAGAAATGAAACTTTAAAGCATATGCCAAAAATTGGAATTAAATACACCGTAGGTAATAATTTTGATGATGTAGAGTTGAACAGATCAGTTATCTGTTGTGTGGAGAGACAATGGATCTGAGATTGCATCTTAAATAATACTTATGCTCTCTAGTTTGAATTAAGAGCCCCTGCTTACACTCTAATTTCTAGGGAGAGTTTCACAGCAACGAGAATAAGTAACCTTCAAGAGGGTTGACAAAAAATGACATTTTGGTGTATAAATGTAAGAATTCTATTTGTTTGTCTGCGACTTGCGTATTCTCAAGACAGCTAAGTTATCCTAATGTCTCAATATTTTTGAAATTTTGTGAAAACAATGTAGCCTTGTTTTTTTTTTCCAGAAATTAGAGAATAAAATTTCTTCATGGAACAAATTATTACACAAGGCATACATGAAAGTTTACCAATATCTTATTTTGTCTTTAAATAGTAGAACTGAAAAAGCCTTGGTGCAGCTTGTCCATGCCTGTACCCTTAGAGAATGCGTAATGATAATAAAAGAACAAATAATCTTTTTGAAAGGTGTTTCACACATAGTCCTCAGAGAGTTCATGGAAAAACAAGTTACAGTAATGTGGGTAAAGAAACATGCATGATAAAGTTGTAACCAAAGTTTTAAAAAAAAAAATTGATATTATTAGAAAACTAAATTTAATGAATAGTTTATGGCATATGAAATTGTATCACCCTTGTTTTAATTATTAAAATTATTATATCAATGTTCTTGTAAGTAGAGCTTATTGAGAAGCAAAATCAAGTTTTAATACCTGTTGTCATATTTCTCTTGCAGTTTTGAAGAATCCTCCATATGCTGTCTCTGAACATGGTTATGGAAGCTTTTTCCTTCCCATTGAAGTCTACTTTAAAAACAAAATAGAACCAAGGAAATTACAGTTTGACTATGATCTCATCCTTCCTGCCTTTGGCTCCTTGCCGATTGATAACATTCGAAGTGAGGCATTAACTTTCACAAACCCTACTGATGAATTTAAAAGAAAGCTGGTGAAAGGTGGAGGGATTGTCACAAAAACAACCACAACAAATGGATTTCACAGGTACTGTAAATTAGGATGCTTTGGATTTACTTTGCTTGTTCAAGCAGTCTTGTATTTGCTTGAATAAGCTTGGGACAGAAAAGTTAAAAAGCACTTCCCCTCCATGGCTTTCTTAAAAAGAAGGGATGCAAGGAAAACAAGAGTCTCTGGAGTTAATCACATAGTACATGAAGTATTGCACTGATCCAAAATCTATTGATTCAAATTTGAGTGTTCACTTGACATAGAAAATCATTTCAGCCTCAGTAAGTGATTTTGTTGCTGGAGCACCTTAATGGCAAGTGTGGTTCATTTTCCTTATTCTGTTTTCATATCCCTCTCCAGTTCATCTCCCCCTGTGAATGGATCAATATCTGAACAGACCACAGAGACCAAAGACACCCAAGTGACAAACAGCCTTGTGGCTGACGTTCGTGTTAATCCTCAAGTTTCATCACTAGCACAAGATCTTGATAAGAACAAAAAATTCAAACATGAAGGTGCAATAGCCAACAAGACTCTCAAAACGCAAGAGGCGGCAACACCAGGACTTAAAAGATCAGCCAGTACATCAGGAACAGAGGAAACACAAGTGCAGCTGGTTAAAAAAAAGAAAAAGAAACACGATGAAGCCATTGCAAAGCCAGGGAAAGGAGTGGGGTTCATCCCCTTAGAACTGCCAGGTGCTAGTAATGAAAGTAAGGACAGATTGGAAGAAATGAAAGATATCAAGCTAAAAATAAAATCACTGTCCTCTAAGAGTCCTGCCACAGACAAAAAGAAGAATCGGCAAACCTCATTAGAGACTGGATTAAATGAGGGAGTACCCAGCAGTTCTAAGGGAAGAGAGTTTACATCATCCAAGAAAGTGAAGAAGAAATCTCCCAAGGAAGATATGAAACCATCTAAACCAGAGGAAAAGAAAGTTGAGAAGATCACGTTTCGGCGTCGTGGCTCTGGAGACAGCTGGTCAAGTAGCACTTCAAGTTCAAGTCTATTAGGAAATTTAGGTGGAAATATAAACGTGGCACTTGATAAACTTATGGCAGACCTAAGTGATGAGGATGATGATGATGATGGCAATAGTGGTGACATTTCTACCCCATTTCAATCTAAAACGGTAAACACAGGAACAACACAGAAGTCCGTTTCAGAGATTAGTGGTACAACACAAAATAAAGACACTGGCAATAAGGTCAAGACAAAAAGCAGCTCTCAAGGGAAAAAGTCAGAAGGGAAGAAGAATGAACTGAAAAGTCCTACCAACAAGAATGTCTCAGCAAAGCAAAGGTGAAAATCTACAGTGTTTGGAATTTATTTGATTGATGACCTCTGAAGTCGTGGAACAGTGGATCTTCAGAGTGGGGTTTTAATTGCAGAGGGTGACCTAAACTTATACATGTTTTATAGCACCAAGTTTTGTCTTCTCAATTTTTTCTTTTCTTAAAGAAAATTAAATCCCTCCCTTGCAGGTTTCTCAACACAATGGTAAATGCTTTGTTCTTCCTTTTTGAACAACAAAGGTGATCTAAGCATGTTGCATCATTCCCTTCTTGATCAGTGAACACCATTTCAATCAGGCCTTCAGTGTGTTTATGATCACTTCCTTAGTCTCTAGTGTTGAGAATTTTGTCTTTCTAACCCCAAACCCGGGTGTTAAAGGGCTGATAATGCTATCCAATGGATAAATCACTGTCCAGTGGACAAGTAATACCAAAACATACAACACTATCCACTGGATAGAGATTTAGCAGTATTCAACCTTTAAACAACCAAGGCCTGGTTGTCTAAAGACTTGATAGGGCTATCCACTGGATAGATTGCTATCCACTAGATATCATGGAACATTTTGTAAACATTTATTCAATGGGTAGCTCAAACCAGTCTTTAAACAACCAGGGCCAGGACTCTCAGGTATCCTAAGAATGTATTTACATTATTTTCTCAGAGTTTACATTAAGTCCAGATTTTTTCCTAATCTTGCAATAGTTTCTGTAAGTGTCATTAGATCCACACTCTCTTCTGCTAATTGCTGTAAAAGAGAGAGTGTGTGTGTGTGTGTGTGATGCATGATAAGCCCAAACAACAGCTGCAAAGGTGAGTAATGTCCCTGAGACCACAAAAAATGGTTCAAGCCAGGGCAGGCTTGAGACACACAGTGATTCACACTGACATTAATCCATACAAGATAAAGAAAATTTCAGCTTCTTGGGATTTTAGATACTTGGTCTACAGTTGTCAGTGCTCTGTGGTTGTTGAATTGTCCTTGATTTCAATTTTTTTTGTTTGTCTTGTAGCCCAAAACAACGACAAAAAGACCTAAAGAAAGGAAGCAATGGACAGCGAACACCTTCATCTGACTTAATTCAACTGTACAAGCGTCTTGTAGCCTTGAAAGACTCAACTCTCCTTCAAAAAATAGCAGACATTTTAGAGAAAACAGGCCATTTTGTACTTACAGAAACAACACTGGACTTTGACTTGTGCAGTTTGGACAAAACAACCATAAAAAAGATTGAAAATTCCATCAGCAGATAACATTACCTGGAGAAGCTTAGAGATATCACATGCCACAGAGGGAGAATTTTGGGGAAGCCATCCTCATCTCTTTCACCAGTTTTCCTTATTGGCCTTGGGTTGTACGAGCCTTTTTCAGCTTTGCCACCAATTTTGTGGAAAGTAGTCTGTATTGTAAAAAGCTGGACCAGGTACAACAGTGGAATTAATCAATCAAATTTGAGGATTCGTGAGTCCAGCCTGCTGAGATACTTTTAAAAAAATTAACTATTATATGCTCACTTTCAGGAGCAGAAATGAATCTTGTTCCACTTTATCTGATAAAGTGGGCTAAACAAATGCTGTCAAAATTTTCCACCAGAAATCCTTACAAGCTTGTTCCTTTGGTTTATAAAAACATGTAAACAACAGCTTCAGGAATGTTTTTTTGTGGTAATATTGTTTCTTGAATATTGCATTTTACTAACTTATACTTTTGTGTACTTTGAAGAATCTGTGTGAAAACTGTTAGATTGTGGGTCTCAAATATACATTCAGAATTAGACAACTCAACCTGTCTTATTTGTAAATACCAATGAATTCTAATTTGAGTTATGTGGAAATGACAAATCACTTTAATTTGGTAATATAGCATTTATAGAACATCTGTTATATTGTTTTTTTTGTGTGTGTGTCTAGACTTTCACATCAAAAACTACTTCAGTCATTGAGGGTAACAATTCAAATTTGTTGTGTGGCATCACAGGAATAATAATTAGAGGGTTTGGTCAATCATACCAGTTTTTCTTGTTTGTGGTTAGGGTGTTCTTAGGATAGTGGTACACCATGTTTCATGCAAAAACATCTTCATTTTTAGCAGCCAAGTTGAAAATGATCAAACTATCAGACCAATCTTCTAATTCCAATACTATCTCTCTATTTATTTGTTATTATTTAAATAATATAATTCTTTAACATTTTTGGAGTTTAGTCACTACTGCTAAAACAAGTGTATTTATCAAGAAAGAATATGTCAGATTTGATGGGTTGTTTAGGCAGAAAAGTCATAATTTTAGAACATAACTAACATCATTACCATACAGCTTTCCTTTTATTCATTATCAAATATTTGGTCAATATTTTTATGTTGAATCTCAGCAAGATTGCCAAGTGGCTTAAAGATGAAATTTCTTAAATGAGATAGTCTGATGCTGTCACAGAATCCTCTGCCTTCTATATTGAATTTAATATTATTATTGCCAATCTAATGGGAAGTTGTTACAAGTATTTCTAAGTTTAAACTTATAACTTTTTTCATCATTCAACTATTAAAAAGTTTATCTAGATCTGAAATGGATTTAAATTGAGACAAAAGGATATTTTCAGCCATATCATGCTATATAATATGAAATGTATTTCTTACTAGTTACTATTTTAACACTAGTTTGTTTCAGTCTGTTTCTGTAAAATTTTGTATCAATTTTCTTAAACCAAAGACTTAATTAAGATTATCATTTATTCATAGTAACATTCATTTATTGTAGATTTAAGTTTATCAGAATGTAAACTATATTATGGGAATCAGTTATGTTGTGAACAATAACTAATATAGAGTCCAAATGTTTCAGGTAGTAATATTTCACATTATTTATTTTGATTGCAATTTAGCAGGCAGTGAGTGGCTGACTAGCATGAATAACAGAATTCGGAGATCAAAAAGTGGGTGTGCAATTTGACTATCATTGGACGGTATGATTATGGACAGAATCATAACATTAAGTGTTATTACTTTTATTACCAATAACAGCGTACAAAATTTTAGGGAACACCCAACTAGTTAATTCATATCCACAACAAAAAGTACAGCAGTCACCTTTCATTTTCAAAAGATGCATACAGTTCAGACAGATGAGTTTGGTCCAAATGCTTTCCTTCCTTCTTGAGTCATGCACATTGTGCTGCTACGGCATATATCCTGAAGTTTTGATTCACCAAATGATCACTGGTGGGGATTTATTTATCATTAGAACATTCAATCTTTGGATCTGAATCTGTGACCTCTTTCCTTTTGACCAAGACTGTTATTGATTCTGATAGAATTCTGTATTTGTACTTATAACTTATTTTTTATACTAATATGTTTATAAGGACTCCAAAAGCTTTGTACACTTTTCCTTTGGTTTCTTAAAGTTATAATTGTAAATAAAAACCTAACTTATTGTCTATAGTACTGGTGTTTGTCTCTGTTTCTGGTGACATGAGAACTTGGAGGAAGGGTCTTCTTTTGGTAATTGTTTAAAGGACATATAACAAAACAATTTTTGAATTTGGCTTTTGCATGATATTGATAATTATCAAACATTGATTCTGTGTCATCTGCCTTAGCGATTTGGCTTTGAGAGACTTGCTAACTAATTTATGTTTCAAAGTTTGTCTTTGGCAAGAGTTCATCTTTTTCCATCTACAGTTCAATTTTATTAGTAAATTTGTAACATTTGTACAAAATAATACTGACACACAGAAGCAAGCTTTTATTATTTGGCCTACAGACTGCAATAATGGAAATAAATTACATCCACTCTGTTTCTGCAGTAAAGTACTATTTACAACAAACAATATATTTACAATAATCTGTTGATAAATTATTTTATAATGTAAATCTTATATTGCATGTCAAGAATTACTAGCAGATTCAAACTGACAACTTGAATAAGAGCTATTGTGATCTCAGGTGTTCTCTCCTCTGTTGGAACAGATTTCATAAACAGAGGTGGGTCCTGTTGTGTTTGAAAATAATTTTGCCACCTCACTATTAAGAACCATGCATCATGCAATGGCTATCTTCAACTGAAGCCATTTCCTTTCTAAAAATCTCTCAATTTCAAATTAAAGCTAAGCACAAGACTTCCTCATAAATATGAATCTATTTCTAGACATATAAAACCTCCTTTTTGTGTCACATTCAGGCCTCACAGTTGATTCTGTATCAAACCAGGCTTAGTTATGGCGATGGATGGCTTTATTTTCTTGAAGACTTGGAATTTTTAGGCTGTTGTAGTGCTTCTGTCCATAGTTAAACTGCAAAATCCAATTTACACATAGGCCTTAGAACAGGTCACAATTCTGACCAGAAGCCTATGGCCTAGATTTTGCTTCACTGTCTGTGTCCTTTAAAAGGGTAATCCTTTCACTCATTTTGATCACACTGCCCTGGAACACAGGGAAAATACAATTTAATTATTTCTGCCAAGTTAAGGCATTCACAAACCCAAATCTTTCCAACCTGGTATTTCCAGCAACAAAGGCATTTCCTCTGAGATACACCCAATTGTATTTGACCCTTTCACACACAACTCTGTAACTTAAAACAACTCCATCCAAAGCCACAGAGTCCACCAATATTTTCCCCTATGTGCGGTAGATATTGACATGTAGCCAGATGGGTTCAACACAGTTGCTCAGATTTTTGTTCCTTGGTGGTTCAATATTAGTCTCCTAAGTCATGTTGCCATTCTTCTAAAGTAATTTGACAAATCAGAACAATTTCAATTTGATTGTCCACACAATGTGGTGAAGCAACTCCATAAATAAGTGTTTGTGCTAAAGGTGTCAGAGACCAACAGGAATGATGTCATATGCCACAAGTGCTGATACCACAACATAACAACACCACAAGAAAACCAAGAAGAACCCAGTCATGTGTTTTGATGTTGCAGGACCACCAAGCTCTCCTCCAAAAATCTGAAAATTAAAGCAAAAGTAAACAGAAATAACTTACAAGTGAAAGCAACAAAGATACAATTTATAGAATAAATATTTCTCTTAAAAAAAATTTAATCCAAACATTTTTTCTCTAATTACACGCACACAGTAACATTGTATTGACCCAGAAACTTACCAATATACCTCAGCAGTCAAAATTCATTATTTCATGAAAAAAAAAATCATGTAATTAAATAGTTTCCACAGGAAAGTACATTTCTCACAATAATTACATTCTGCATAACAATCAGCTCACCATTCTTCTAATGACAAGGGTTGCAAGGCAAATGAGTCCAAAAGTTGTGAAGACCAGCACAGAGAAAGTTAGATTACCACTGTACACAATATACTTTGTCTTCTTCACTGCATGATAACAAGTTGATATCACCCATGGCAACCCAAGACCGAGAAACACATTCACACTGTTACTCCCTGCAAACAACAAAGGTATCATATAACTAGACATGATCAATATATTGTGTAAATGTCTGTGGAAAAGATTTTTTAAAACTCTGTCTGAAGAACATTTTTATCATATTTATACTTGATTTGTGACTGAACCATTATACAAAAATCACTGGATTTTAACCAAAAAACAACAAAATTCAAATTTTTGAAAAAACATCACATCACAGTTTTTTATGGTTAATTGTGCATGCATAGTAAGCTTCAACAGGTTGGAAATTGATGTTTGTCTAAAGACATCAAGTTCTAAGCTAACAATTCTGTTTTTTGAAACAAAGCTTGAGGAAACTATGTGCTTCAAGCTGCTGATATACAAAATTTATTACACATTCATTAATATTTTCTAAATGATAAAAGTTTTAATATTACACTAAAATCCAATAACACCAAGCATCAAGAACCTCTAAACAAAAAATCAAGTTCACATTCAAACATGTCAAAAGTTTAATTAATCACTAATATGTTTAGTCAACATTAGCAGTGTCTCCAGTCCTCACTTCAGTACTTAAAATTGTGCAAACGAAACACAACTGCTGTTACTTTGTGACAACAAAGTAAATCTCATGGAAAATAAGCCAGCACAGTGACATGATCAGATAATGACTGCAGCAGTTGCACAAACCTGTGATATTCCCAATTGAGGCATCTGCTCCAATATCTTGCAATGCAGCAGAGCGGCTGGCAAAGGTATCAGGTAAGCTAGTACCAATTGCTATGATAGTGATTCCTGTAACACTGTTCTTAAGTCCTATGGCACAACCCAGGAGTTTGCCAAGCTGTAAAACAACATGAAAATAAACTCTTGGCTAACTTGATATGAACATGTGCAAGAAAAACCTACTAATGACTAGCTGATTTAAAATACAATTACATGTAGTTACTGTTGTTAGTAAAAAATAGTTATTGTTTTACTTATTAATATATATTTCTTAATCAATTTATACATTAAATATTGAGAGTTTGTGGATCAAACATACCTGTTCTACCAATGCAGTCAGTCCCGCTATAACTAACAAAGACATGAAAAATGCTGGCCATCCACCACAACAGTTCCTAAACAAACAAAAAAACAGCAAACAATTGTCTACATCAACTGAGGTTTTCCAAGGTGTAATGCTTAACCATTTACCTCCCAAGATCTGATTGTAAATTCTCCTCTCTTGTTGCTTAACATTTCCTTGTAGACTAGTTATGAGAATTGGGTATTGGATCAAGGTGACAACTTCTACCTGATAACCGTGAGTATTCTCATTACCTGTTTGGTGGATAATATATGGATATTA